ATTAGCTACGTGAACTTGAACAATTTCCTTAGTCTCTCTAAACGGTGTTCTACCACCCAGTTTTAAAAAATATTATCTATAAAATATGTTGAACAATTCAGGACTCTATTTACTTCACACTGTTATTCTGAAGAAAAAATTCAGGTAATATAGGTATGATTGCTAATAATATCAGAGTATTATTTGTAGTTGGGCATGGAAGCACATGGCTGTAAGCCCAGGACTTGAGAGGTGGGAGTAGGAAGATAAGATGTTCAAGGCTATCTGCAGCTATATAGCGAGTTCAACACCAGTCTGGGAACAGTGAGTTTGAGACCAGCCTGGGCTACATGAGATTATGCCTTATAACAACAGCAACAACAAAAAGTTCTATTTGGAAAAAAATATCACCATCAAAGTAGTTTGACCAGGGGCATCATTTGCTATGTTTCCAAAGGCTAAGATAATTAAAGTCTTCTAGTACTAATAGTGCTAAGACTTTACCTGTTCAGTGATGAATAAAATCCATCTCTTTTTTATCATTAATTTAACTTAGTCCTGTCAAGAAGAGCAATGACTAAAGATAGAATCTTACAAAACCTACTTATATATAGGTAGAATATAGAAAAGAAGGCATTACATTATAAAAAATGAAAACCACCAGAAAAGGAGGGATCAATAATACAATATTAAGTCAAGGGCATAGAGAAAATAAAGGCACATATTAGGTGGAGAGATTGGAATCTGAGAAAAGGCCATGATTCTGATCTGGTTAAATTCTAAGGAGAAATCAGGGTTGAAGCCAATATGCAGGAGATAATTATTTAATAATAGATTAATATGTATCCTTTTTTTTTTCTCACTGAGGTGAGCACCCCAACCACTCTGTGAGGCACAGACATTACTGATGGGGAAACTTATTCAGGCTTGGACATAGGTTCAAAATCACACAGCTATACAGATAGCATGGGAGAAAGGTTTGAATCCTGATCTGTCTAACTCCAAAGCCAGCAATCTCTCCATTAAGCTAGCCTATGGGTTTGGGCGTGCCACTGTTGAAGAATCTGGCAATAAATAAGGAATGGCAGTGGCAAGGAAGCTTTGGCTTGCTTGCTCATTGTGGCTGTGAAGAAAACACTGTATGGCTGTAAGTGGCAGTGATAAAAAGCTAATAGATCTGGAGTCCGAAACTGAATGCCAATCCTACTTTGTCCCTGCCACCCGCACACCAAGTGCCAAATTCTATAAATGGCTTCCTTGCAGTCAATGAAACGGGGATGGTGACAGGTGATGCAGTACCTGCAGAATCCACTAAAAACCTTCAAAGGGCAGTGGTAAGATTCCAATGAGAAGCCACATGTGAGAGGACCATGTAGGGAACAGTATGTGTGTTGGGGGCTATGGGGCCGAATGTGAGTGTGTGTGTGTGTGTGTGTGTGTGTGTGTGTGGTGGGGGGAGGTATGCTCCATGTTCACTGTCAAATAAAAGATCAGAGGTCCAGGAAAAATGCCTCTATGTCCAAAAGCAGTTGGCAAGGCCCTGAGCATAGGGGCGGGGGTGGGTAATGAAACAGCTGCAGGGCTTTGCAGGGAAATCATAACTATGAGGAAGGCCTTTAACAAGTATGCTGGAGGGCCAAGCTGAGCCAGACAACATCAATCAGATGCCTGCACAATTCTCTCCTCTCAAGAATGTTCTGTCTCCTGCCTCCTGACTCCATGAAAAGCTCAGGACTTTTATTACTTCTTTTTATATTTATCTCTGGCTTCTTGTTTTATTAGAAGTTGCCCTTTTATACCTTCTATTTTCACCTTAGTTACTCCTTTCCATTACTTTCTGTTCTAATCAAAAGCAATTTTAACTCAGTGTTCTGACACTGGAGTCATGAAGTAAATAGATTCAGTGTCTGCCACAGTAAAAACTGGTCTCTTTCCCACTCTTCAGTTTATTTTCCATCTTGCCCCTTTCATATAACTACAATGTGCTTCAATTCTTGCTCACCATTTGCAATGTGACACCTTTGTTATATTGAAAACTTTTAAGTAGAAACTGTAACTCTAAGGACCCCTGAATTTGGCATGGTAAACAGATAAACAAGTTCTTCATTTAGTCCTATCACCTACCAACTCTCTGAACAAAGGCAGAATATCTGGGACCCCAGCCTTCAAAGAGCAAAATGATGTAAATATCACTGGATCTGACATTTCAGGGGCTAAAATCAGAATGCTGACAGGACAACACAAGACTGACAATATAAAAATACATCTGAAATGATAGAGAAAGTGATGTAAAAGATGCACAACTCTTTTCCATGATTCAAGTATCAATAGTGCAAATCTTTTGAAAAGCATAATTAAAAAACAAGTGCACTGTATGTGCATTCTAACTGCAGATTCTAAAACTATTAAACTCACTGGGCCTCATGGTGGTGCATACCTTTAATCTCAGCACTTGGGAGGCAGAAATAGGCAAATCTCTGTGAGTTCAAGGCTAGCCTGGTCTATATGATGAGTTCCAGGCCAGCCAAGGCTATATAGTGAAATGATGTCTCAAAAAATTAAACTCAAAACAGTTATTTAAAAATGTGATTATGAATTAAAGAAACATATACATGTCTGTTGAGTGCTATTAGATCTATGCTAACACTGCAGATTAAGTGAGATAACCCAGACTCAGAAAGACAAATGTTGCATGTGCTCTCTCATAGCTAGGTGCTAGCTTTGAAAGCCTAGATATGCACATTTCGATTTGAAAATCCAGAGAAGTCAGGAAACTAATAAATGGCCATGGGGTGGGTAGGGGGAGAGGCTTCCTGGGAGGATTGATAGAATGCAGTGATATGAAGAGAGAAAGGGGAACATTAGAGTAGGAAGGATTAAATGGAATGGGGAATGGGAGGGCAAGGCAGAATGAGAGAGAATGGAAAGGGGCAAGAATCATTAAAGGCCTTAAAAAGCCATATGGAAAGCTACCACTATAGAAGTTACTTAAAGTATATACATATATATTATAAAAAGAGATTAAGGAGTTACCTTATAACAGGGACATTGCTGCTACTAGACATCATAGGCTAACAAAATAAAACCCCAGTGCCAGGAATGGACTCTCTTTCTCTTGAAGCTGTTGACCAGGGATCTCATAGAACCTTAAATAATATTGGCCATTGCCCCTGCTCTTGGTTACCCACCAGAACTTGATGGCAAAACCCTATTCTTGAAGGCACTACATTTATGAGCTGTAGAACAAACAAGGAGAAATCAAGCTGGTGCTGATTTCAGAACCTAATTTCTACTGGCTAGTGCTCATAGTGCTGAAAGGTGTTATGCATGCCACCAGAAGGGAAAAACAATTGTCAACTTTACCCAACTGTGAATACTGTGAACTACAACAACTGGCCTGGCAAGATAGGCCCACCAGTGCAATAGTGGCACAAATATTATGGGAGTAACCAACTACTCTAGAATTGGATTTAAGGTCTGCTTCATAGGATGGAATCCATACCTGACATTGATATCAGGCTTAGGAACCTGAGGCTAGACAGGTTGCAGGGCATAGGGGAGAGCCCAATTCTAGTTTTCTACTAAATAGCTATAGTATTAAACTGACTCCTAATGACTTATTGTTATACCCATATATTAATGTATTTCTCAACTCTCACTGGAGAAGTTTCCTTATATAAGAGATAGTGATTAACACAGAAACCTTATGCCAATGTGCAGAGAAAATGAGGCTGCTGTGGATGGAACCCAGGATCTAGAGTGTGCTAGACAAATACATAAATGTGTGTGGGTGCCACCATAAGTATGTCTTTTTCATGTAGTGCCCAGGGAGGCCAGAAGAGGGCACTGAATCCCCTGGAATTGGAGTTAAGGACGTTTGTCAGGTACCATGTGGGTGCTGGAAACCCAACCTGGTTTTTCTGCAAGAGTAGCCAGTGCTCTTAACCACTGAGTCATCTCTCTAACCTTCCTCCTGCCCGTTATTATTTTTTAAACACATTGATGGGAATGGCTGGGGCTTTTATGAGCAATTTCTTTGTGAATTATATATCATGAATCCCATAATGACTTAGTAATTGATTTTAATGATTCATTAGCTAGCAAGTTGATCAAGTCTCCCACCAACTTTATTGAAAGTAAACCAAGAATCAATCTGACTCATTCCTTTTTCAACAATGATGCCAATTTTCAACACTGTCCCTTTGGTATCCTGGAGACTTTTGTCCAACTGCAACACATCACAATACCATTTTGGATGGGTAAAAGGGAGGTCCATTGTAAAATGAGACAAGAAACCATTCCAAAAAGAATGAGAGAAAAGAACCTATATTATCTATTATGAGCACTTTTTAAACATGTAAACTTTAGAAATAAGAGGAAAGAGTTTGGAAATTGGTTTCTTTGCAATGATGCCTATGCCTGATGCTGTGTGGAAGTCTTTGTGAACATTAGGGGCACTCATACCCACTCTGAAGCATG